GCATCTGAAGCAGAGTTTATTTTTCTTAGTTGTCTCCCATCTTTCTTTAATATTTTGATTTTGAAACGTTGGAGACTCCCATATTTTATGATCGTTTTTGCAAACAGAACATTTCTGTATCCAAGTTATTTTCTTTTTTTGATCTTTGTTACCAAAGTAAGAATTTCCTTCATGTGCTTTGCTACCAATAGTTTTTTTTAAATCATGTAGAGTTTTCGTTGCTGCAATTTGAAAATCTGCTTCTTCAACAATAAACTTTTTTAGAGTTTTAACATTTTCGTCGTTTTCATACACCCATCGTTTGTATCTAATTAACATTATTTCAGGAACTTTTTTTTGCAATTGATGGTACAATGTCCCATCGCCAAGTTCTTCTGTTCGATTTGTTTCTTTTAAGTTTGTTACTGCCACATCCAACAAATCCGCAAACTTTTCAACGTCTTTTGGATTATTTTCCCTCATAGGTTTAAAGTTGTTCAATTCATCCAAATACATAAGGATTTTTCTCCTTATTCCGCCATATTTTCTTTCAAGTCTTTCTTTTGCAGCTTCATAAGCGAATGACGAATGCCCAAGTCCTTTAATTGCTTTTAATGCGTCTCCACATAAATATTGACATAACTGAAGTAATTTATACTCAGATGTCGCTGGGGCTTGATCAATGCATGCATAGAATGAAGCTTTCCAATTTTCATAGTTCTTTTTATCACCATTAAATATTGGTATAGAGACGCGTTTGAGTTGTTTCCATAAATCATGTCCAATTTTTGCAGTCTTTTGATCCAAATCAATTATTTCATTTTCCATTTTACGCATGATATGCGTTGATTTGATTGGTTCCATTTTGCTATTCCCATTTTCTTCTTTATTATTTTCATACTGGTCATTACTTTTTTGAGTACTTAACCATTGATAACATTGCTTTTTTGTTTCCATTTTAAGTTCTTTTTCCATCCTTTGTTTTTTAAACTTAATTTTAAACTTCCATTGCGCAATATCCATTCATTTACATGTTCCATAATTTCCGCAAATTTGTCGTTTAGTTTTTCAATTTCTGTATTGAGTTTTCCTAAGTTTTCTTTTAATTCCAGAAGTTCGTATTTCTTTGATAATTCAACCATTATCTCAAGAGCTTCGTTTTGAGTCTTTGTTAATTAATTACTCGATTCGCTTAACTCGTTTTTACTAGTGGGTTCATCGTCTTCAATTTGCTGAATAATTTGATGTTTAGTTCACATAAACAAAGACTTTAGAACTATTTTCTTCCTGTTCAATACAGATACTTTATTTTGAACGGTTAACTGATCTTCCATTTGGTTATTTGATTTTTGATTTTTTCTTTTTATCATTCTTCCGTGTTGAAGAAACTACCCTCTGCTACCAATTATGATCCGATGACGATCACAAATAATACCGAATATGTATTATAACTTATATTTTTAAGATCTTAACCGTTTTTACATTAACTATAATTCTTATATTCTTTTTATTTTTGTATCTGAAAAACAACAACAACAAAAATCTATTTATACAAAAATTTCGTTCAATAACAAAAAAAACACTATTGTTCAAATAGTCGCCACATAATTGTTATTTAGTTCGTTATAGCCATATTGGCACTATTTACTGGTTATATCGATCGTGGTATCGGAATGTTGTTTTTCTTTTATGCTAATTCAATTTTCTTCCAATCACTTATTTTTTTACTTTTACTTTTTTTAAGTATCATGTTAAGCAAAAACAATTACTTAATTAATAGTATTAAATACGTTACTTGCTCATTACACTGTAACTGCAACTTAAATTTAAATTATAAATTAAGCTGTAAATTATAACAGTAACTTACTCTATTTTAAACTCCGCTAAACAAGAAAATCATAAGATAACATTTAAATATGAGAGATAGTATGTTAAAAGATAACAATTACATGCTAAAGAGACAATTTTATACTAACGCAAGCCCCTCTCCCCCCATTACAGCACATCGGCGCAAGCTATAAAAGAGAGGGGGGGGAGCAAAAAATATATTTTTTTTCGCGATTAGATTTTTTTGCGTTAATTCAAGCCCTGTCTTAATTTAATTTCTAATAAAATGTCTATTATCAATTAAACAAACAATTATCGAAAAAACATTATCAATTTGAACCAAAAAAATATAGCAAAATTAACATATATGTTAATTTAACTAAAACATTTTACAATAATTGTTTTTTTTATTAAGCGAAAATGAGAATAATTGTCACTTTCGAAACCATAAAAATGACTGAAATAAATTTTTGTCTAATTGACTAATTAAAATGTCAAATTAGTGCTCCTGAACCTTTTTTTTTTTCCTGAACTAAACTTTTTCTTCCTTTAAACTTTTTTGCATCCAAATTTTTTGCATCCAAAAAGTTTGTCTTAATCATTTTATTTTTTCTCTATGCTACTAGGTATGTCAAACTTGTATCCAGTATTTTAATTTTTTGATATTTTCAATATATAAATATTATAATAGATAATTATTATCATATTTATATCCAATATAATTCTTAAAACTTTAGATTTAAATTTTACAACCAACTCTTAATGTAGTTGAAGTGTTTTACACTCAAATTATAACTATGTGTAAATTATATCACTATATTTATATTATATTCATAAAATAAAACAAATACATATTCAAAATTCATATAAAATAAATTGAATTAAGACACTGATTTTATCATTTAAATCTTTAACTAAAAAGGTGTTTATTTTTAACTAAAGTTAAAAATAAACACCTAGGTCATAGGGCTACAATAATGTCATAGCTAGAGTATAGGTCTTTAGTTTTTTTTGGTGATTGTCAATATATAGAACCTTACCAGTTAAAAGTTTCATTATTTATTTTAACTGTCTATGCTAATTTCTATGCCTACAAAGTGAATGTAATTTTAATAGGCTTCTGCAATTGTTTAACTAACTTTTAATGCATAATTTTGTTTTTTACCACAGATGGTTACCCTAAGTAGACAAAATTAACAAAATATTTGCACTACCTATCTGTAGGTATTGAACTGTAGCACATAAAGTTTCCCAAATTTTTTTTAATATTGCAATTTTAGCTACTTTGGGTACAATAACTAAAAAACTGTTTGAAATCAGTTGAAAACACTTGCGCAAATAGAATATTCGGGTGAAAAACTATTACTGTAGAAATTTCCAGGTAATCGCCTATTTTATTTAAGAAGTTATGGTCTGTCAAAATTTCAAAAAAAATGGACTGAAAGCTCCAGATGCTAAAACTTTTCTAATTTTGATCAATATTGATTCGATCATAACTTTTGAATGATTTAGCCAATCAAGCTGAAATTTTCAGGATTGTGTTTTTGTCATAAAATCTGTGGGTGGTCAAAATTTGAAGCAAATCTGAGGTGATACCCCGGGGGATCATTAGGTGATTTGATATGGAATGACCCTAATTTAATTTTTTTGTTTCTATTTTTACAAAGCATTGTTTAAAAGCTTTTATTTTTTAAAAATTGACTTACCAATGAAATTATTAAGAATTACTGTTTTAAAAAGTCTATGTTATTAAAAAAAAAATTTTTTTTGACTTTTTCAAAAAAAAAAAAATTTAATACAATTTAAAAATATTATATATATTTCATTTCAATAATTTAATTTCACTTTTTAAATAAGCAACAATTTAAATAAAAAATTTTCATTTAATAAACAATCATTAGAAGTAATTTGTAAAACCATTTTACGTAACTTTAATAACACGTTTCAAAAGATAAGTTTTAAATTAATTTATTTCAACCGTAATTAAAAACTTAAAAAAAAGGGAATTTCGCCTCGAGTTTAAGTGTTTGAGTTTTATTTTAAAACTTATATATTTTCTTTTTTGTGAGAAATTGTTTTCTTTTTCAGTTTTTTAAATTTTTTTATAGTTTTCAGACTTGAAAAAAAAGACTTAATAACGCTAAGCTAAACTGTTTAGCTTAGCATTTCTTTTTTCATCATTTCTGAAATGTTTAAATCATCAAAACATCTAAACAGTCGTAGTCAAGTTGTCAAAAAAAAAAAATTATTTCTGTGGTCAGCAATAGCGTTCGATCGCACGCCATTCCTGTCCAAGCCTCATACATCATATGAAACAAGCTAATGGAGAAGCATGCCAAACTTTGTCAAAAGCCTTAGGTATGTCAAAAGCAATAACGCTAGTCTCTCTGCCTCTATCTAATGTATGATAAAATTTTTTAGTCACAGCAGTTAGCAAGTCAACCGTAGAATGAGAGAATCGAAAACGGTATTGATTAAGTTATTTGATTCAAGATGGGATGTGAGAAATTTGTTTATCAAAGACTCAGAGACTTTGCTAATAAATAGTTTACAGTTTTCAGTAATTTATTGATAACTTTAATAGATATTGACAAATATGGCAATAAACATCAATATGCATAGCAAATAGCAGGATAAAACAGTTTTAGAAAAAATTTTGAAAACAAATGATCATTTTTGCTACTTATATAGTTATAGTAATAAAACACAAAAAAATACCAAAAAAAGTATTTTTCAAAGGGGGCTTTCTAAAATTTGTAAAATCTGCTTCACAATATTTTACCATAAAATTGTCCATAACAACATAACTAAGACAAAAAATTTTACCCATTAATTATAGAATAACTTATCTTTTTTTTAAAATTTCCGGAAATTTTGTAACCCTAGTTAATATAGAAGATTGGAAAAAGTTTAAAAATATAAAAAAGATTTTTCTTCAACTTGGTTTCTGGTTGCAAAATAAGCAGAAGGTAGCAGTAGAGCTATCAAATATTAGGTAGTAGTGCCCAGCTATGCAACCAATACATGATAGAAAACCTTTATACTTACTATTTTAAAGGGAGTAGTAAAAACCTCATTTATCTAAAACCTTAGTACATTATTTATATTTTTCATTTTGTTGTAAACTTCCATCTTATCTTGCAAAGGTAATAAAGTATTCTACACAATCTTATGAATATTAAACTTTTATTTAGCTGAAATGGCTATGAAAGCTAGGAAAGAAATCTCAGATTTTTTGCAGATGAATAAATATGACAGAGCTAGGATAAGGGTAAGATCTGTTGCTTTGTTTTTGCTTAGCAAAGCAGTTAATATTTGTTCTTACGTGATTTTTTTTCAGGTTGAGCATATTATTCGTGAGGATTACTTAGTTGAAGCAATGGAACTTATTGAGATGTACTGTGATTTATTATTGGCTCGATTTGGACTTATCGAAACAATGAAGTGATTACTTTTATTTGTAAATAATAAAGTCAATTTTTTTTTTGTAAATATTACCTAGTAATATAAATTTTTTTAATGTTATTTATTGTGAGTTGCCTAAAGTATAGTCACCTAGCAGTATGGCTGCTATTGCACAAATGCTAAAAATACTTTTTAAAAATTGGTTTTGCAAACAAAATATTTTTAGTTTTAATTTATTTTTTCATTTTTTTATTTCAGATTTTGTGATGAAGGTTTAGTTGAAGCTGTTTCAACTATTATGTGGGCAGCTCCTCGTCTAACTGCTGACTGTCAAGAACTAAAGACGGTATATATTAGGTTACTCAAATTTCGTATTTTATTAATTACTTATTTTTGATTATGTGTCATGATTATGTGTTATATTCTTATTTTATGTCTAAGATATGTCAGTTTTTTAAATAATTTACTAATTATGATAGTTTAAGTTTGTGTGTAAGCTGTTTAGATATGCTATAACTTTTTTTGGTTATAATTTTGTTCAAAAATAATTAAATTATTTTAAAAGAGTTTTATAAAAAAATCGAAAACATTTGAGCATTGTTAAATATTTTTAACTACAGTTATTCAAAGTGTTTTAATTACAGTTTCTAGATATATATTAAATATATATTTGAATATTAATCAATGATAATAAAATAATTTAGAGCTCAGTGTTGGGAAGGTATATAAGTAAAATATAAATAGTTAATAAGTATGGAAATACTATTTGAAGCATAAATTATTTATTTGAAAAAAAAATAGGAGGTTGAAATTGAGTTTCTATAAACAATGTTATTAAAAATTACTGCAAAGTTCAGTTAAACATTAACTTAAATATCTTCCATATTTTAAATTATTTTATGATAAGTTAAAAAAACTATTATAAATCACTTTCCAAATGACAAGTGTGGCAGTGTGCATTGTGTTTACAACTAAATGCTCTAAACAATTCTAGGTTTTTATCCAATGGTAAAGTAACCAACATCCACTAATTACAAGAATCTTCAATGAGTCTCTGTGATTGTGATTTTCTTCCATCAACATTTCTTTGCTGTTGCAAAAAAATTTTGATGAAAAATTTACTTTTGCTGATATGCTATTTCGTTTGTTTCATTTTGTTAATTCTATCAAATATAATAATATCAGAAATAAGTTGTTAGAATATAGTAATAACACATTATCCTTGAAAATTTTATAAACTACAAACTTACATTGTGAATTACAACTACAATATATAAGTTCTCAATCGCATACTATGAATTTTCAATTACATATTATAATTTCTTATTAATATGTTGTGTTGAAGTTACATATTACAATTTCTTAATCATATATTGCGTTTCTTAATTACATATTTTGTAATATTACATATTACAACTTCTTAAATATATTTAATGTTTCAATAGTGTCACAAATTCTAAATTACAACTTCTATGTTCTCCATTCCATATTGAAATGGCATTGTAGAAACTACTACTACAAAATAAAATTCGAAAAAAAAAAAGTATTTTTACTTTTTGTGTAAAAATAACTAAGAATAATGAAAAATTATTATAAATTAATAATAAATCAGGGTTCGTACTGTACCTGGAAAACCTGGAAAATCAGCCAAATTTGGATAAAGTCATGGAAAACCTGGAAAAGTCAGGGAAATTTTTTTTTTTTTAGGTAGTCAGGGAAAAGTCAGGGAATTCTGATTGAGAAACTACTCCTTTTACAAATAAGCTATTATGTTTCTGTTGGTGCTTCCCATTTATTTTGACAATTAAAAAATACCCTACAGTGTTTCACAGAAAGGCATGTGATGACACACCTTTACCACGCATATAATATTTTATTTTTAAAAATTTGACCACAGCTTTTTAACTTTTTTAAAACTTGAATATTTTTAAATGTATTTTAATAGGCAAAACGCTCTTATTACTAACAATTGTTTTAAAATATTAATCAATAAAAATATTTTATTTAAATTGTCTATGGTTATTATTTTATTTTTACAATAATAGTGTATGTTTCTTTTTTTTATTTATTATAAAAAAAATAATTCCTTTTTTTTATTTATTATAAAAAAACTAATTTTTCATGATCAATTTCAATCGTTTAAAACTATTTCTGTAATTTATTCTATAAACAACAGCATCTTTAACTTTAAACATTTTTGTGTCTTTAAGGCGAAAAACTTCTTTTTTTTATTTTAAATTACATAAGTTACAGAAAGTTTCTAAGATTTTCAACTTTGTTGAAAACTTTTGAAAGTTTTTATTAAAAAAGTATTGGTTTCTACAAGCATTACAATGACTATTAGATTAAAATCCTTGTGAAAATGAATTTTGAAAATAAAAAAAAGGTTTTTAAAGTTAATACAATGAAATTTGTTACAGTGCCCTGTGTTATAAATATAAATCATTTTGAAATAATTTGTTTCCATTTTTAGAATTAAAATAATGAATAAAATAGAAAAACAAGCTTATTTTAAAGAAGAATGGTTAAATAAAGACATTTACCTTCATTTTGACTCTTGGCTAATGAAAGGGAAAAATAACACCCAGGCAAGATGCAAATTATGCAATAAAATAATTGAACTTTCAAACATGGGTATTCAAGCAATAAAAAGTCACAAGAAAGGAAAAAAACATGTTTCAGTTGCAAGCAATTTCTCTTGTTTTTTTAAATCATCTGGCTCTAAAAATACTAATTCACCTAATTCAGTAGAAGCGTCTTATTTAAAGACAACTGATAGTTTCTCAACAGGACAAATGAAGCAGCAATCTTTAATCTTTAATCTTGCTAAATCTTTTCAAATGGGACCAAATAAAGTTGGATATAGCATCACTCATGGTCTTGGGCCTTATTTTAAAGGTTTACTTAAACAACAAATGAGCCTGTCTTCTTGGCTTGTCGTATCCTTTGATGAATCTCTCAACAAAAAAACTCAAACTTGTCAAATGGATTTACTCATCCGGTATTGGAATGAGGAAAAAATGCAAGTTGAAGTGAGGTATTGGGATTCCTCATTTATGGGACATAGTGTACTAGTCTTGATTTGGTAAATCATTTTAATGAAAAGATAAGTGATATTAATATCAGCAAAATTGTTCAGGTCTCTATGGATGGAGCCAGTGTCAACTTGAAATTTCACAGACATTCAAAGCAAATGTGAAGAGCACGAATTATCTAAACTTATTGACATAGGCTGCTGTTCCCTACACATAATTCATGGTGCTTTCAAAACAGGAGTAGAATCAACTGATTGGGAACTTAAAAAGACATTTAAAAGCTGCTTTACCTTATTTCATGATTCTCCTGCCAGAACAAGTGACTTTATCAGTATCACTGAAGGTTCTGTGTTCCTGCTTTCATTTTGCGCAACCAGATGGGTTGAAGACAAAAAGGTAGCGGATAGTTTAATTAGTATTTGGCCATCTGTTATAAAAATTGTTAGTTATTGGGAGTCTCTGCCTAAAAGTAAACGACCATCTTGCAAATCATATAAGTTTGTTGTAAATGCTGTTAAAAAAGAACTTTCTCTTGTAAAATTCCAGTTTTTTAGCTACCTGGCGAGCATGTTTGAACCGTTTTTGAAGCTCTATCAGACAGATGCTCCAATGTTGCCTTACATGAATGGTGATCTTGTGCAGTTGATTAAGAGTATTCTTAGGATGTTTATTAAATCTGAAACTATTGAGGCTACCTCAAAACTTACCAAAATTGATCTGCAAAATAAAGAGAACAATTTGAAACCCAGTGAAATTGATATTGGGTTTGCTGCTGAATTATCACTGTCAAAGCTCAGAAAAAATGATGCAGTTATTTTGAAGGATATGAAAGAATTTAAAATTCAATGCATGCACATTTTAATTTCAGCTGCTAAAAAGTTATTTAAAAGATGTCCCCTTGATTCCGTGATTGTTAACACGAGTACTTGTTTGCTTCCAAATTTTTATGCTCAGATCACACCTGAAAAAAATAGGAATCAAATGAAAATATTGCTGCATCATCTTATTTCACTTGGAATATTAATTGCTTCTTATTCTGACAAAGTTATCAGCCAGTTCTCAAAGTTTATTTCATCAGAATTTTCTCTGAATCAGGATGTTTTCATTAGTTATGATCGAAATAATAAACGTCTTGATGATTTTTACTTCAAAAACATTGACATAAAAAAGTATCCAGAGTTGTCATCTGTCATTAAGTTGGTTTTGACTCTGAGTCATGGACAGGCATCAGTTGAACGGGGTTTAGTGTCAATAAGGATGTGGTTACCGATAATATATCAACAGATGGTATTGTTGGACGGCGTCTTGTGCGTGATTTCATGCTTACCAACAACCTCAACCCCCACTCTGTCCAGATTACATCAGAAATGAAAGTTGCCTTTAAATCTGCTCATCAAAAATACCAGATCATGCTCAGGAAGAGAAGTCAAAGAATAAAAAACATGCAATGTTAGATCAGAAAGCCATTATTTTGTCTGAAATTGAAGAGCTGAAATCTAAAATAGGTTTCCTTACAAAAACTTCATTGATGCTAGAAAAAGAGTTTGTCTTAACTGTGGAACAAGCGGAAAAAGAAAACAATTTATCATTGGTCAGCCAAGCGAATGCTTTAAAAAGGAAAAGTGAGGAGAAAATGAAAGACGTAGCTAAGTTGCAGGAAACATTATTGATATTAGAAGAGAAGAGAAAGAAACTGAATTAACAATAGTTGCTTTTTGACAATTTGTTTGTTTATATAAAATATTATTTATGTTGACATTTATGCAAATATGGCTAATTAAAAAACTTTAATTATATTTTCAATATAAGATTTTGCTTAAAAAATATATGCAATTTAAAATTAATTAAAAGTTTTTTTAATGTTTCTAAGCATGTTTTGTTATACTGTGCTATTTTTATCTAAAGGTATTATTGAATTAGCGTAGGTACAGCTACAAATAGTGATAAAAAACAACTAACCCAAAGTAGTCTCTGTTATAGACCGAATATTGCTCAAAATGTTGAAAGATATCTACATAGACATTTTAGTTTATTTTTGTGTTAGTGAAAAATAATTATATATAAAATATTTTATGTGCATAATATTTAGATTTTCTTGAAGATCATCTGGAACTAAATTTTATGTGCATAATATTTAGATTTTTTAAGAAGCTCACCTGAAACTTCTTATTGTTTATTCTTAGTCATCCTTAATAATAAGATCCATACTAATATGCACAATAAAATCTATACTAACATCCAATTTAACTAATAGCTAAGTTTTATAAGTTTTGTCATTCTAAGCATGTACATTTTAGCATTTTCATTACAGTAGTAATTTTTAACATTTTATAAAAACCATTGCAAATGTTAAAAATGGTCAGGGAAATTCATCTGATTTTTCAAAAAAGTCAGGGAAAAGTCAGGGAAATTTTTATAAATATGTGGCTACGAACCCTGTAAATTCATTAAACAAACACTAACGGTAAGAAGATATTCCTGATGATCACAGTGCTCCCCTGCAACCCTCTGGATAAATTTTGAAACTCTTGATTTACTTCATAAGAGATAAAGGTATCTATAAAAATTATGGGCAGGTTTATTAGGACCCTCATGATCTGCCAAAAATATATATAAATATATATATTTTTATATATAATATATATATTTTTATAAATATATATATTTTTATATATATTATATAAATATATATAATTAAATATTTAAATATATATATATATATATATATATATATATATATATATATATATATATATATTATATAAATATATATATTTTTATAAATAAAAATATATATAAATGTATATATTTACTCTCTCCTGCTTTTTTTTCTCCTGTTCAGCATACACACCCAAACCATATTATGTTGGTGGAATGGATAAAAATGGCAAACAAGTATATGGCTTTCTAGCTTTTTTTAAAATAGAAAACTTTCTTGTATGACCAATAACTGGAAGTTGCAACCTAATTTTTGGATCTATTAAGGCTGCACTCAAAAGGTTTATCTCTAGATTATCCAAGTTATCTAAAAAATTTTGTGCATTATTGCCATCCAACCCAATTCCATGATTGCTCGCAACATAGTATAATTGGCCTTTAGCCAGGCCACAAAAAAATTGAAATCTTTACAAACATTGAAATAATAAAAAGGCAAGCTCTGGAGGTGGGATGCTAAGTTCAACAAAGGTTTCTGGAGACTCAATAAGGTAAAGAATTCTTGGAGAAATACAATTTTTGAACTCTTTCATCTGCTTATATTTAAGTCTATGGACCCAAACATTCTTTTTACACCACTTTCAAGTAAGCATTCACCCTCACACCAGAAACATGCGAATTTGCCACTGTGGCTACTCAGACCAAGTAAAGAATTTCTGCATTTAAGATCAAATGCTACTGAATATGTGACATCTTCTAATCTCAGTTGAGCTAGAAGTAAGTTAAGGTTACCATTGTGTTCAGAAACATCTTCAACTTAAGACAAAATTATAGATCGTTTTACACCAGCATCATCAAGTTTTTTTGAGCTTGAATGTTTGACTAAAGGATCAAAAACATTTAAAATACATTTCAGAAATCCCTTTCCTACTGAAATTATTGTTATACTGGAATAAGGATCTTTCTTTCATTGTGTAAAGAATAAGATCTGATGTATTTGTAACAAACAAACACTTTTCATCTCCTGGTATAAATGTTTCTTTTTTGACATCATAAAATTCTAACAAAGAGTTGTGTAATCCTTCTATTTTAAGTCTAATATTGGTATCAACCATATTTTTACCAAGATTTTTATGCAAGTTAGTACAAAGAATTTTTGTTTTTCTTTTAGACAAGTTCAAGTGTTTGACAATTCCATTATGACATCAAAAGACAACTTTTTAGGCGATATTCGTTTTGAGTTTGTAACTGATCTTCCAACAACAACATTTAATTCGAAGATTCTTAAGAGGAATATTCTCACCATATATACATACATGTACTAAATAATTGATATACAAATATACTAACCAGTAAATGAAAAGCACAGACAACATATTTTCTGCATTTTGATATGTTCTGTGTTTCCATCATTGGATGGTACAAACTCAGCAGCTTTGTGATCAATATTTGTTGCTCTTTTTAATTTTTGGCAATCAATCTTAATAAACACATAAAAAATATTCTCTAATTAAAGGATAATATTTATTATACAATTAAAACTTTTCATACTTCAATCAGAATGTAAACCAAAAAATTTTTTTGAAAGTATACTCTTCTAGTTTTACATCTTATTATTATCAATAAAAATAAAAAAAACTAAAATACAATAAAAAAACTAAAAGAAACTTTAGTCTTTCTTCCATTGTTGTAAAATTGCATCTCTTTCTCTTTTCTACAAATACTATTAAAGTTGCTGCTCAAAGGAGCTATCATTTTTAGTTCCATCCACCAAAACTTATTTTTGCTCGGCTAATTATTCAGCAAAGTAACCTTTTACTGTATTTGTCTCTGCATGCTCCAAAAACTTTTATTTGTCTAGTTTTTTTCCTCGCACTTTAACATTTTAAAACTCTCATCCATCTTTATGTTTTCCTGACTCATACAACTTTTCAAGTCTTCTGTCAACAGTTTCCTTGCTCTTTAAGACTGTTTTATGTTTTCTATAAACTCCTAACTTAATAGTGGTTGCTTGCAGACTTGTTGGGATTGAATCAGAATAAAAAGTAAATAATAATAAATGTAACAAATATTAAATATTTGTTTAAACTTATATAGTTATTTATAAAAAAATATGTCTTTTGATTGTACAGGTTTCTGATCAACTAGCACTAAAATATGGTAAAGAATTTGGTCAGCAAGCACGATCTAACGCTAACAACACTGTTAATGAGAGAGTAATTTTTTATTTTATTTTATTCTATTAATTTTTATTTTATTATATTTATTTTATTCTATTAAACTTAGTAGTTATTATATAATTTAAAAATTTTACAATTTTTATCAATAAAAACTAATTAAGGAAATAAAAATTAATGTTGACTATATTCATTTGTATTTTTTAGTAGATTTTATTTATTTATGTAAATTTTATTACTTTATTTTAGCTTATTCATAAGCTAAGTCCTGATCCACCACCAAAGATTTTAGTTGAGCGATATCTTATTGAGATTGCAAAAAACTATAATGTGAACTTTGAACCAGATGCTGAAGTTATGATGGTAAGACTTATTTTAAATGAGTAATGTAGCATCTACTACAAGTCACCAATTTTTAACTTTTGTTGAGTAACTTTCTCGGCATTATAATGTTTTCTTCTCTGACTTTTTCAATCCTCTGTCAAACAGTTTACTTAAGCAAATAGTTTAATAAATTTTTTTGAAGTGCGTTTGAAGTGTTTTTATTTTTCATTTTGAGTCTTTTCTTTTCTTTTATTTTTTGACCAGTTTATTTATTTTTATTCAGTGTGTCTAGCAGCTACAATTTGTATGGAAAAGATTGCAGTTTATCCTTGCTGCCTTAATATTCTTTTAGGCAGTGCCTGCTTAGATATTAGGGTAATAAAATTTGAAGGTCCTTTCTGAAATGACATCATTTCAAGAAGGTTTAGTATTGCAAGTAGAAGCAATTGGAAAACTGGAAAAAGTAGAAACTATGCTGAAAAAATTAGATGATCGTACTATCATATATTTAGATCATCATTTAGATGCTAAGCAATCTAAATCTTTATTTATTGACAGCAAATTTTTGGATTGCATATGAATAGCTGGTAGATGTGCAGAATTGGTTGGAAATAGTCTTAAAACATGTACCAAAATTGATGTTGTTTGACTAAATTTTTTTCTTTGAAATACTAATAGTTAATAGATTCTGCTGCAAAATAAGTCTGCTGTATAAAGTCATAGGCAAAAGAAATCTTGCAATGTTAATCAGTTTAATCCTTAGTGTGAGATTTATCTAAAATTAGCAGAACTATATTTTTGCCCCTGAATATGAAATAATTTCTCGATTATCCAAATACACGGAAACAAAAAAAAAATGTTAAAAGACCAAAATAAACACATTTTCAAAGTCTAAGTACTTAATTGTGCTGCGCCTTTTAACTTCTACAATTGTGCTGCACCTTTTAACTTCTACAATTGTGCTGCACCTTTTAACTTCTACAATTGTGCTGCACCTTTTAACTTCTACAATTGTGCTGCACCTTTTAACTTCTACAATTGTGCTGCACCTTTTAACTTCTACAATTGTGCTGCACCTTTTAACTTCTACAATTGTGCTGCACCTTTTAACTTCTACAATTGTGCTGCACCTTTTAACTTCTACAATTGTGCTGCACCTTTTAACTTCTACAATTGTGCTGCACCTTTTAACTTCATTTGTTCACAAGGAAAGATCATCATGTATGATACCTTCCACTTGCTGAAAAACAAATAACTCTTGTGACTAGCTGTCCACTATCAGCTGAAGCGAGAAAACTAACTTATTTCTTTCCATTGTTTGGAACATGTAGTTTACTTGTATCCACAACTTTTCCCAATAAAGAAAAAAAAGTCAATGACAACTTGGCTAAAGCCAAGCAGCTGATGTAGGCTCAGATTTGCCAAGAGATAACTATTTAGAGTATTTCTCCATAAATCTTTTTTACCATTCTTAACTGAAAACCCCAAATTTTTAAAATTAATTTTATCTATAGACTTAATTGTTCAACTTGTTCTTATACCTAGCATTTGCACCTGGACAATAAACATTCAGTATTTTACAAAGTTCTATTATCAACTCCAAAAAATAATGGTACCCTTGAAATTTTTTTTGTCTATTTTACATTGAGTTTTTAGAGTTGCAACTTTTTCTTGGCTAAATACTCATAAATAAGTGTTTAATTTTTTGTATATAACCGAAAGTAGCTGGAAATTAACAGCTTTTGCATAAATATTTCTACTTTATTATAATAATGCAGCTTTACATAAATTTTATCTATCAATAAAATTTATTTTCCTTTTTTTATTCTTTAGATTAGATAACGCAGAACTTAAAAAAATATCATTTTGATAATTTTTTTTTTGTTATACATGCTGCAATAATCTTAATTTTTTTGTGTCAAACTTGACTATTGATAATCACTGTATAATTTTAAACAACTTACTTTTTCCCAACTAAACTTGTTACAAATTACTCAAAAACCCTGGTTATTATAGCTCCAGAATAAACAGCACAACCAACGGAATGACCTCCAATTACATTTAGATCCTCAAATATTTGAGTTTTAGGAACTTTGTCTTTAGCTTTAAATATCTGAGGACTTAATGCCAACTTTGTTTTGAAGGCAATTATTATTTTATTTGAAAGAGGTTTATTAAAACATCAGGAACCAACATTCTTTGAATAATAAACTTTAATAAATTATTAGCAAAATTTTAGATTGAATGAAAATTTGTTTTGCTTATTATTAGTAGTTTAGTATTTTAAATTTCTTCAATATTTAAATTATTAGTTATTTTATATTCTTTCTGTTTATCTTTTTATATACCACTTTTTGAAGGAGCAGATTGTGGTAGATTGTGCCAATACATATGCAAATAAGGCTAATTAATAGTTTTAGGGTCCATTTCAAATGAGGGATACTTTTTTAAAATGGATTACCCTACTAGTAGTGGGATACTGTTATTTTTTTACTTTATAAAGGAATTTGCATGCAAATATTTTCACAATATGAAAAGTTCAGAACACAGTGTTTAAAGGCATTATAAATTATTTAGTTTAAATTTATTTGAAAAAGTTCATTTGAACTTTAAATACTTTTCAAACACAGCAACTAATATTTCTATTCTGAACAAAAATTTCATTTGTAAGAGCTTTTAAAATCTGCCTTCAGTCAAAAATATTTCCATGTCAAAGCCTTCTATGAATTTCAATAACCTTTTTAAAATAAATCATCATATATGTAGTTAAAACACATATTTTCTGATTGGTTGTAAAAATAATAATAATTATTTATAATGTGTAATTTAATATTTGTTATATTTATTTACCATTATTTTATTAACTAAAATTTAGATACTATTTTTTATAAATGTATTTGATATAAACTTTAAAATTTACTGTAAAATAAAGAAAACTGCTCTAGAATATTTTTCAAATTTAAGTCCAATATGGTTGCACAGTGAGTTGGACAGGGGGTTATACAGTGAGTTGCATGTTAAATGATTTGAAGCTGTACTGTGTAGTTTCAATGTCATGAAACTGCTCAACAGCTTGACATTTTAAGACAAAATGTTATAAAATAAGTTTATCAGCAACACCCGAATTACTATTTACTATAATATATGTAATGATTTTAACCTGGTAATATATGATATATTACTATATCAGATAATTTGTAATATATGGGGGCTATGGATATATTACATATATTACAAACCTAATGGTTGTTTTAAATTATCAGTATTTATGAATATACATTCTGTATTTATGAATTTGTGTATAAGTTCTAAATAATCATAATGGTAAGATAATTTTAATTTTAATTTTAAGTACTTATATGTTTTATAAAGAGTGAAGGTGTTCCATCTATCAATTCAAAAGAGTTTGATATAATTGCTTCTGGACCAGTTGATATTGGGTTTAGTCATTACAATCCTCCTCCACCAGACTTTAGTTCCTCAGGAGGTGGATCAAGTATTGGAAAAGGAAGTATCAATCCTATATATCCACCAAATCCTGTAAGTTATTTTAGTGATTTTTTAACACTAAGAAGTGTTTTTATTTTTGTTATCAGGTACCCGTGTAAAGTTTACAAACTCCTTGTTCGGAAAAGTATGGAAACTTTACATGGTCTTCACTTTCAAACATTTACATGGTCATCACTTTCAAACATTTACATGGTCTTCACTTTCAAACATTTACATGGTCTTCACTTTCAAACATTTTACATGGTCTTCACTTTCAAACATTTACATGGTCTTCACTTTCAAACATTTACATGGTCATCACTTTCAAACATTTACATGGTCTTCGCTTTCAAACATTTACATGGTCTTCACTTTCAAACATTTTACATGGTCTTCACTTTCAAACATTTACATGGTCTTCAATTTCAAACATTTACATGGTCTTCACTTTAAAACATTTACATGGTCTTCACTTTCAAATATTTTACATGGTCTTCACTTTTAAACATTTACATGGTTTTCACTTTCAAACATTTACATGGTCTTCACTTTCAAACATTTACATGGTCTTCACTTTAAAACATTTACATGGTCTTCACTTTCAAACATTTACATGGTTTTCACTTTCAAACATTTTGAGGTTTTTAGATAAAGTTTAAAGTTTGTTGCTAAATATGGTTTGAGTTTAATACTGTAAAAAAAAAATTATTGTTTCATTGTTCTTATTTTCTATTTTTTTATTGTTTTCACTCTAGCGCATGAATTTTAAGGCAAGATTTTAGTTTTTTGTTGTTTCCAGGCTCCAATCATTTCAATTTTTTGCAAAATTTTCACATTTGAGATAAGCATGAACATACAAAAAAAAGTTTGCTCTTACCTCTCTCAAAAACTAAAAATTCTGTAGATACTCTTTTTAATAGTTTTTTATTAATAAAAACATTTTTTGCTTTTACTGATAGTAATAGTTATTAATGATAGTTTTTTTATATTGTTTTTTTTTTTAATTTTATTTTTTTATTGATTTTTATATTGATTTTTGTTTTATGAAGTAAAAGTTACTAGTTTATTTTATTTATTAGTCTTATTATATTGATTATTTTTAATTAAGTTTTAGTAAGTTTTTTGAATTAAAAGTTTTAGTACTTTTTTTTATGACTAAGATTAATATTGACATATTATTGCAATTGTTAATGTAATAATGTTGACATATTATTGCAGTTGTTATTTATTAACATCGACATTCAGTCACTAAACAAATGTTTTGTATAATTTACACCATCAATATTTTTTTTTAAACAAATTTACAAGGCTAAAAATAACCACATTTTAAGTTATAATATTTGTTATAATATATAATAAATTTTTTTGTAATTATTATATTAAAAAGTTCATTTTAAAGTTCTATTAAAAATGTATATATAGTATTCCTCTCTAACAAATCAAATCAAATATATTCGGAATAAAGTTGTTTCATGAAGGATATTGTTAAATTCAATAATCATAAAATGGAAATAATGTTGATTACAAACAACTTATAATGATTAAAAATTAATAGTATTTCTTCTGCATTTCTAATTCTTCTTGTTTCCTTGAAACAATTTTTCTGAATAATATATTTAAAAATTTTTAAATTTAAAAGTTTTTTGTAAAAATATTTAACAATTTTTAAATAATATATTTTTAAGTAAAAATATAATCGGATATTGGATATATAATTCTCGGCTCTGTCAAATCCCATTTCCTACTGGGCAATTGCATTGTAAGAGTTTCACTTTTTATTATTTGTGTTTTACTTTAGGTATCTTCTTATCCTCCAGATATACCCCCATATTCAGAGCGTAATCCATACCCGCCTCCGGCTGGCACAAATGTATGTATATTTTAAATCACTATTTTATACAAAAAATAATTTTTTTTGTTTGTCCAAAATTAGTTTAAAATGAGTTTTTTCTTCATTATTTTAGATACCTGGGTACGCTGGTCCTGGTTATGTTGCACCTGGTTTTAATAGTAAGTTTATTTTTAAAATCTTTTTTATTTTGCACTATTAAGTTTATGTTGTTATTTACATTGAAATTTATTTATTATTGTTAAACGTAAGGGGCGTATGCGGGGCAATTCTATGCTCCACGCTAATACGTTTTAAATTTAAAAAATGCGGTATTTACATTTCAAAAATTAGCGATATTTACATTTCAAAAATAAAAAAATAACCTTTATAATATTGCAATAACCTAAGTGTGTTATAAACAATAAAGTTATCATTATTTTTTTTTATACTTTCAAAGGTATTGCTTAAAATACTCGTTATATGGTCATAACTTTTGATACAAAGAGATTAATGTGTAAATGTTTATTGGTAAATATAAATATAGTTAAAAATATAAAAAAAAAAAAGTATTTTATAAATTTGTTGCATGAAAAAATCCAAATCCTCAGTCGATGTAGCAGCACTCCTTTGCATGTTCTCCTTACATTAGTCGATGTACACACTGAAGCCCGAATATATATATATATATATATATATATATATATATATATATATATATATATATATATATATATATATATATATATATATATATATAATTATATATACATATATATATATATATAATTATATATATATATATATATAATTATATATATATATATATATATATATATATATATATATATATATATATATATATATATATATATATATATATATATATATATATATATATATATATATATATATATAATTATATATATATATATAATTATATATATATATATATATATATATATATATATATATATATATATATATATATATATATATATATATATATATATATATATATATATATAATTATATATATATATATATATATATATATATATATATATATATATATATATATATATATATATATATATATATATATATATATATATATATATATATATGAAGGAAAAAGAAGCCAAGCAAAACAACAATATTCAAAAAATGAATCAATTTTTATTTTATATATATTTAAACAATCTTAAATTCTACAATATTTATATATTGTAGAATTTAAGATGGTTTAAATATATAATATATATATATTTCGTTTCAGTTGGTAATAATAATAATAATAATAAGACTTTTCTATAATATCATTGTTTAAAAAAGTGGTTACGGCTTTAAAGTTGTTTATATATCTTATTTAGAAAATCCTGTGCAACCAAACAATCCATCTTTTGGATTTAGTAGTATACCGAATCTTCCTGATATACCACGAGGAAATCTATCCTCTAATCAAAGTACTAATAGCGATGATGTAGATTTTGACGATTTAACAAAGAGATTTGAAGACTTAAAGAAAAAGAAATAAAATTATTTACTTAAACAACTATCCATCTTTAAATATTTAATTCCATTCCCAATTCCTTTACTATCAGTGTAGTGTAACGTAACGGCTCTAATAGCAAAATGATTTATTATTTACTTTTTCATATATTTTGTAAATAAAACCTAAAAATTTGAACTCGCACTCTACTGTACTTCATAAAAATTGTCTTTTATTATTCCGTTTTATTAACTTTTTTTGGTAATTTAAATAAATTTTTTTTTAATTCTGAAATGTTTTGAGATAATAAAATAACTTTTTTAAAAATACTTTTTTATTCAACAATTCCGAAAATAGTAAACGGTGTGCTGTTTGATCAGAATTTTATTTTGATCACTACATGTTTATTAAAATTTATAACTATAATTCGCCATTTTTTTTACGCTTACCCATCCTTTACGAATTGGATCGGGTTTGGTGAGTAAATTAATGCTTATTCTAATTCCATTATGAAGACCATATCAAATAGGTATGGATGTCTATTGTTTTTCTGATCATGAATGTTCCAAGAAAACCTAACAAATATGTCAAACCGCCGCGGAAAAGTATTTAACATAATAACACTGCTTTCATCACCGATGTCGCATGTATGACAGAAGCACGCATTGAACCTCGGCTTCTCTAAATTTATTTGTGTATAATCAGGATGAAAATCCTTATAAAAATTCAGAGATGTAATAAAAAAGTAAAAAGAGCAGGCATCAGTTAAAAAAAAAAGTAAACCTTAATCCAATTTTGTTTTATTATATGTGGCAACAGCAGTGGTTAGAAACCCAAGTTTCGCTGTGATCTCTGGGAATTTTTTGTGTCATTGGTGAGGAAGTCAACGTGAACTTCCTAGTTAATGCTCTTTTTGCTATGAAAAAAAGATGTTCTTGGGGCAACTAAAACAAAATAAAATATAAACTTGTTCTGGCAGAAAAACTCTTTTTTTTTTCCTTTATTTTACATCTATTATTCATTTTTATTCAATAATATATAAAGTAGAAAAAAAAATACCAATGAATATCTCAATAAAAATAAAAAATTTAGAAGCTCGAAAAAGACCTTAACTTATCCTGCGGGCATTTGTTTTTCAAAGTTACGTTCTAAATGTCTTTTAAACGTTCTTTACTGAAAAATGTTTAAAAAATGTTTAAAAGAAATTTAAAATACATTTAGAACGTAATTTTCAAAAACAAATGCCCACTGGGAAAGGTATTCTTCGGGTGTCACCCACTTTTGGGTGATTAATATCTTATATTTTATTTTGGTTTATAACTCAACAGTCTTACATAAAAAAATAAGTGGGTATTTATTTACACGACCTACAAAATGCTGAATGCTGAAAGATATAATTATCATTATTTAGAAAATATAATCGCTAGCTTTCTTTCTTTCAGTAGGTTTGCTATTTTATCATTATACTTTACTATCAAATCAAATCCAGGTACTACTGTTTTTTTAAGCATATAAAAGAATAAAGCTGATTTTAGACGATTTTAGATGATAATAATTTATTATCGTCTAAAACAGAGATAATAATTATTTGGCAACAATTTATTTTCAAATAATTATTTTCTCTGTTATAGACGAGAATTATTTATAGAGAGTTATAGACACTAAATTATTATTGTCGAAAACAAGGTTTAAAATTACATGTGTCAACGTTTCTAAATACTGCTTTAATAAATTCGTATATAAAAATAATTACATATAATATATGCGTGACACCCTATTTGCCGCCCCGGGTGACACCATAACTAGGAACGCCACTATACATGAATAAATGCATACATACACACATATACAAATGAGCCGGTGAGAACCAGAATGATGTAAGTCAACGTTTCCTCAATTTGATATATTTAAGGCTTTTATTATATTTAGCGTAGAGAAAACCCTACAAACTAAAAAAAAAAAACAGTTGCCAGTTTCTTTACATAAACTTACACCACCACCAATTAACACCATTAATTTCTTTATTTCTATACTATTATTCCTTTTAGAATTAAAACATGAGTTTTTAAAAAATTGTATCACAAAAACAAGAAATATTTAGTCTTTAAGTGTATATAAGTTATAAAAGGGAGAAAGACAATCATTGGTTTATTATTTATACATAAAACATAGGATATTATAACATAATTAAAATTTTGAAATGTGTTTTTTTTGGCACTTGTTTAAGACTTAGATGTTAAAATCTATCTAACGTCTTTTATTATGATATAATATGAAGTGAGTTAGCCAGCTATTAAAATAATCAGCTAGCTAGCCACAAAAATATCGGTTAGCCAGCTTTAGCTGGTTAGCCAGATAAACCATTTTAGCTTGTCAAAATTGTAACATTTCATGGCTAGGAGTTCTTCTTAGAGGTCTTGACATGAGAACCGCTAAAGTTAAACGCATCGATAAAAAAATTGGTGTAAACTCGTACAAATTAGTTTCTTGTTAATAAAAATAGTATTTAAAGTTTTCATAAATTAACTTGAAATATGGTAGGCTCCACACTAGAAATAATTTTCTTTGGATTTTTTATTTTTGCATTGTTTTTCCAGTATACTACAATTGTCTTCAAAATTTTTTATCTTAACATCAAAATTTTTATTTTCTTCAACCATTGGAAAATACTTCAGGAATTTATTTTTTTTTAATTTTATTCCGGTTCACTTCCAACAAGGCTGCAAGCAACCACTATTAAGTTAAGAGTTACAAGAAAAAAAGAAAAGAGTTATCTATAACTCTTTTCTTTTTTTCTATAGCAAGGAAACGATTGACAAAAGACTTGAAAAGTTGTAAATGGAATAAGTCAGTAAAACATGAAAATTGGAGAGAGTTCCAAACCATTGAAGTGCGGAGTTGATTGTTTACCGGAGTTATTAAAAATTGGAACAACAAATGTCAATTTCCAGCAAACAAGAAAACAAAACTTGCAAAAAATTTTTGCAAGGCTATGACAGAAATGTTGTCTGGACCACAAGCCGTAGAAGAGTTTAATTAAGATATTTTTTAGCAACGGAAACTGAGATGATTGGAATGTCTAACAATGGGTTAACTCGTTTAATTGGAATGGAAGGAAGAAAATGGCTATAAAATTTAAGAGTTGAACTAGAAGAAAAGCTCTTTGCAAATAGTTATGCTTTATCTTTGAGAGAGGTAATAAGATCAGTTCCATGAATAAGAGATCGTATATTAGACCCAGAGGCGTCCAGAGGGGGCGTAGGGGTGTCTAGCTCTCCTACGAAATTTATTAGTTGGCAATTTGGATCTATAGTTGGTAGTCGGCAAATGTTGGTCAACGAGGACAACAAGGACCCTTGTCAATGACGCTGTTGAATATTACATTATTGAAAAGTGCATTTTTGAGTAGATTAAGTCTATCATTTTTTTTTTATTAAGTCGTCTTTATAAAAATGAATTTTATTATCATATGATAAATATTTTCTACTTGGTGTTTTGTAAAAGTTTTTCAAAAAAAAAGAATAATTTTAGTCTTTTTTTAGGCAATTAGGTTAGTTATGAAGGTCATACTAATCATTTACGTGTACATACATAACGCCATATGTGCACACATACCCACAAAAAAATTTGTATGAACACAAATATACGCATAGACATATCAGGGTCGGATCCATCATTTTTTGGCATACGAGATAACTAACCTCCGGACATGGAGCAAATAAAAAACATTTATACGTTCATTCTTATATCAAACAAATATGCTTTGCGAAAAATTGCGATGATTAAATTCTGAGAACAAAAAGACCCTAAAATATTGGTCACAATTGCCCCAAACTTGAGAACAACAAGTTGATAAATTATTCTTTTTACTATTCTCAATTAAAGTTATATTAATCAATCAATTCTTAATTTCATACAACAATCTTTTAACATTCAAAAGTTATGAGCGTACAAAATTTGTAACCCCTTCAAATTTAGGGGGCTTTAAACTTTATATGGTCATAACTTTTGAACACTGATAGATTATACTATGAAATTTAAAATATATCGATGAATATAACTTTAGTTGAGAATAGTAAAAAAAATGTTTTATCAACTTGTTGCTCTCACGTCTCCAAACGAGGCTAGCGCGAAAGCATTTAGTCGGCAAATTTGACTCTTATTGGCCCTTTAGACAAGTCAGTCGGCAAATTTAGACAGTCAGTTGGCAATTGTAGACCAGTTAGTCGTCAAATTTCAAAAAACGAGGACCTTTTCTTTTAACCAACAAAATTGTAATGACACTTTTTAGGGCTTTTTGGTTCCCAGTCTCCAATCATCACAATTTTTTGCAAAGCATCTTTATTTGACATAATTATAGACATATAATGTTTAGAGTTTGTTCTATGTATGGAAGTTAGTTATCTCAAATACTAAAAAATTTTGGACCCACCCCGGCATATGTATTACGTATGTATACATGTTCATGTATACATACGTAAATACAAACATACACACATTCATACATATATACATACAAACATACATATATACATTAGGGTTATGAATTTTAATCAATCCAATGCTCCTGTACTGTAGTTTGATGAACTTTTACCTAAAAAGCACGAAATGAACTATTATTTGCATGTCTTTTCAAAAAAGTTCACCCGCAATTTAAAAATCAATTTTGACATAAATACTACTGTATTCAAATGTATTTAGAATGTCATAGTCGTATAATACAATAAATTTTCAATCCAACAATGACTCAGACTGTTGACCTTGCTCTTGCTTGTTGCACAAAAAGAATCAAAGGTGCAATTTTTCTTTATTTTTGCATGAATAAGTTTCCTCCATTACTTTGATTGCGCACTCTGCGCATTGATTACTTCTGGGTATCTGTAGTATGGACGGCTCTTGCTTCCAGTTATTTTTTAAAGAGCTTAAAGCCTTTTTGTATGGATTCAGTATTTCAGCCAAGTTATTGAAGTCGTTTTCGTTGTACAGTTGGTCTGTAAACCAATGTTCTGCCCAACCATACAATATAAATCGACATACTCTCGGCAGAACTGTCCTTGTTGAAGGAATTAAATTGAAGGCCAGGATCGCTAGTATAGTTCTGGAGTTAAAACTCGCATTGCTGATGTTGGGTATTTTCTGAAACCTGATCAATGGAAAATGTCTCTTTTCCTAAA